ACACACACACACACACACACACACACACACACACACACACAGAGCCTCTTCCCAATACGCGTTTTTGCAATTAGCATGTATGCAAAAACGCATAAAAACTCGACTCAGCTCGTCTCATACACGAGCGGCAAAAAATTTTTTCTCCCGACGACAGGTAGGGCTGCCCAGCGGGGGATGGCGGCAGTTTGAATGTGGCAGGTGGAAGTGGGGGTGGTATGTGGCGGGTTTTGTCTGAGACAGAGGAGGAGGGCTAGGATAAGTGGATATAAGAACTAAATGGTGTAGATCCCTTGTCGATTGACTATGTAACGTACATTTAGAAGGAGTGAGGAGCAGTGAAGAACGGAAAGGATCAGGAAGTGTGTTCCGGGTTTTTACCGTAGGTACGTGGGGTACGGAAAGGTGAAATACTGTTTGCTTGAACAGTGCTTTTACAATAGGGATGAAGAAGGGTCTATATCTTGTTTGCTAGCAGGATTTGGGACATGGTAGAGAAACGGAACGAGGATGCAAGTCAGGAACACGAGGCAAGAACTGGAGATAACAGTAAAGAGAAAAAGAAAACGCGGCGCCATAAATAAAAGTAAATTAAAGCAAATCCGCCACTGTGAAAAAAAGCAAGAGAAACCGAGGTTTTGCTAGTGGAAATTGACTCATAAAAACCCATCATCAGGAGGTGACTTCCCTATTGATACTGATGCTTAGGTAAAACTAAGAGGGAATAAGATCAATGAAGTGGGCAAAAACAGGGTAGAATGGATGCCTAGCGATGAAGTCAGCCTTTGCTCCTGTGAGATTTTGAAAACAAATAATTGGCCAACGCACGGGCTGCCCGTACGAAGATGCGTTTTTTGCATAATTTACCGTAGATTTTTGTCGCTAACGGCACTGGTTTTTCCGGCAGATTCTTCTAGCTAAAGGAATTTCAGACTGGCCGTCAGGACTGTTAGGAAACATGCCTTCAAAATTCCAGTTCCCTAGCTTCTCAGATTCCCGAGCTAGCAACTTACCCGAAACAAACTTTGGCGGGCCCTTACGTGGGTACGACGCTTATCCGGGGCCTGGGTTTGAGCTCATTAATACCTACTTGGACGGAGAACGCCCCCTTAAAATTTCAGCCTCTCAGCATTTCTGGTTCCCGAGTTAGCAGCTTATTCGTAAAAAACTTTGGCCAGCTCGCACGTGGGCACCACGCGGGTAAGAGCGCCCATTTTGGATTTTGGGCATATTTTCTGCATTGCATAGCTGCAAAAGACGAATAAACTTAGTCAAAAGCGTACCGGCTGCCGGTACGAGGATGCGTTTTTTGCACAGTTCCCCCGCAAGTTTCTTTCGCCAGTGGCACGCTCTTCCCGGCAGATGCTTCTAGCTATAAGAATTGTGACTGGCCACCACAACTGTTAGAAATTATTACAATAACTCCCAAACATGCCAAAAAAAATCAGCGCTCTGGATGCTTCGGTTGCGAAGTTACACCAAATTTTATGCGTTCGTACGTGAGTGACAACGTGAGTACTTTCTTCGCACGCGGTTGGTCAACCACGGTCCTGGGTAGCGCTCAGAAAGTTTCAGCACTCAACCTGCTCTGGTTGCAGAGTCACGCCAAATTTCACGTGCTCATACGTGAGTGGCGACGTGAATGCTTTCTTCGCCCGCGGTTACTCAAACACGGCCCTAGGTAACGCCCAAAAAGTTTCAGCACTCCAGCTGCTCTGGGTGCGGAGTTACGTAAAATTTCACATGTGTGCACGTGAAACGTACGTGAGACGTGAAAGTGATGTGTAAGTTGTTTTTGCGTGCATCTGACCAAAGGGCACCATCGGTTATGCCCAGAAAGTTCACGGCCTCTGGCTGGTTCAATTCTAAAGTTACAAAAGAGCACGCGTGAAATTTTTACGTGTTCGTACGCATAAGCCCAATGTTTGCTTGCTTTTGCTTTTTATGCGTTTTTTGGAGCTATGCAATGCAGAAAACGCATATTGACGAGAGGCTGTGTGTGTGTCCGTGTGTCTGTGTGTGCGTCTGTACCGATTTTTCGTTTCAAGACTCACAAAAGTTAGAGAGCTGAAACTTTGGGGACTTAATCTACATGCACGTATGGGCCCCAATCCCCAAAATGGGCACCCTTACCCGCGTACCAACCCGCCAAAGTTCATAACTCAGGTAAGCTAATAACTCAGGGATCTGAGATGCTAGAAAAGTGGAGTATGAAGATTGGAACTAGGTGTCATGTATAAGACATTTCACGATGCGGTCTGTGTTTCATCCCTTAGCTGTATACACAGACGGAACAGTGCATGCGGGCAGGAGTGGGAATCGTCAGTACAGCCTCCTACTCGCCATGTATTGAAAGGACATGTAAATAATTTGCAAGAATGATAAGTGAAAGAGAAAGAGAAGGAAAATGTAATAGCTAGAAAGCTGAAATCTTAAGGGGATGTTCCACGTCCAAGTGGGTATTAATGAGCTCAAACCCTGCCCGCGAGTAAGCGTGGTACCTACGTATGGGCTCGTGAAAGTTTCTTTCGGGTAAGTTGCTAGCTCGGAAACATGAGAAGCCAGAAGACTGGAATTTTGAAGGCATGTTTCCTGAGAGTCCTGGCGGCCAGCCTGAAATTCTTTTAGCTAGAAGCATCTGCCAAAAAAACCAGTGCCGTTAGCGACAAAAATTTGCGGGGAGCTATGCAAAAAAACGCATCTTCATACGGGCAGCTCGTGCGTTGGCCAATTATTTTGCTTTTACGGGCTCCACTTCTTTGATTTTGCTTTCCTTTTATTCACAAATTCAAGTCTTTTTTAATCTACTTTTCTTTGTAGCGCCGTGTTGGTTTATTTCCCTTTTTACTGCAATCTGCAGTTCTTGTTTCGAACTCCTCACTAGCACCCTTCTTTTCCTCCTGTATCCTGCCTCCAACCCCTGCATCCAGAGCTGCGCCGGGGCACCCATCACCTCCAACCACCATCACCGTACATCGTCCTGACCTCCCCACTTTCCTAGCCTCAATCACGCCCTCTAAGCTGTATGTAGGCAACTACCAACCAATACCCCTCAACTACGCCCAACTTTCCCACCGATCATCCCCGGCCGCGCAGTGCAGCCACCAGACATTGAGCACTGCTACCCAGCGAGTCTGGCAAAGTTCCAGCGAGCAGCGCCGCGAAGTAGTGTTGGCAGAGATGTTAGAGTGCTTTCCAAACACCATCGATCATCAGCCGAACCGAGCCGAGCCGAGTTTTTGCAATTGCTATTTTCCACGAATGCGGGAATTTAGTTAGGCTCGGCGGCGCAATACATAGTCGCTGAAGTACATTTGTCTTGGATTGCCCGGGGAGGGGGTATGGGACTGTGGGAGTTTTCATTTCTACAGGTTCACTTTTCGCTTGGGAAATGCTAGATCTGGAGCGTTTCCTTTGCTGCTTTCAAGGTTATTCAAGCTTCACAACATCATCTGCGAAAGTTATGCTGGGAATAAATCGATTGGTGCCAGTTTTGGGTGCTAAACTCCGTTCCTTGGGCTGCCGATGATAGCTTAGCTGGTTCTCCCGGAAGAAGAAGTATTTGGCAGGGCCTTAGCCGTTTAGCTAGTTCTCTGGGAGACAGCAGCTTGCCTTGGAGCATTGACATTCCGACGCCACGACTTGTCTTTCCAACTGTGATACAGTTTGCTACGTATATGAAATTTCACTGATTCTGGGGGCGGTTTAATTTGGGTACAATTTGTTGGCCTGTTGATGAGTTCTGTGGTTTCAGCATGTCGAAGCGACAGCTCGATGAGACCGAGATTGGCGCCAGTTTGCCTGCCGATGGCGGAGACATTGGCACTTCCGGGTGCAAAAAGAGCAAAAGTAAGCGCACCGTGGCATTTCGCTTCCCGGCCAGACGGTCGTGCTTGCTTTGAATTTTCAGAATCACTAGGAGTTGATATCGTTGAAGTCCATTTGAGTTTCAGCCTACCAAAATTTTGTGCACTTTTTATGGTAGCTTCTTTTTTCATTTTGTTCTCCGGTGGGGATTCCGATCGTTCATGTGTAAATTCGATGCCTGGCTGATCAAGTCCGGTCTGTATGTTTACAGCTAAGGGATGAAACACAGAGAGACTGCATCGAAAAATATTACCCCACTATATCTGAAAGATAAAGGCAATTTTACACCATAAAATAACACCTTACACATGACA